TTAAGGGCAAGCTGTTGGTGTACGATCCTGGCTACTTGGTTGTGCCTGTGCAAATATTCTCCATTAGCAAGACGAGAACAACCAGAAATAATATGCCTGATTGATTCGCCAGGACGGTGGCATGCCCGACAGATGTCAACCGTACCATCTTTCAGGATATATTTCCGATAGTTATTCGTCATGATAACTTCGTCCATAATCGCACAAACAAAACCTTCAGTTTCTCCGAAGAGGTCACCATACCGTAGCCAAGTCGTAGATGCTTTTAAATCTATATCGGACCCGTTTAGGGCCCGATAAAACCGACCATGGAGCTCTTTGCCCTTCCATACTTCCCTGCGATCATTAACACTAAGTACTACAGGTCTGCGCCAATTCTCTTTAGCTAGAGCGAGCGGGGTGAAGCCGGTATCCACTGCAACTACATTGCGATGCACTCCCACGTCGGTATGTAGAAAATATTCTCTGAGATTGCATATCTCGCGATTATGTAGGGTCTTGATATTTAATAGTCCGCGACCCCCAAGCTTTCGCGGGATATACAATCTCATAACTGATGAACGTGGGTGGTGCATTCGGGATGCAGTCAGCAGTGTACGGACTTTCCTGTCAAGGGCATCTAATTCGGTCTGAGTCCATCTAAGTATACCAAAGGAATACATCAGAACCGGCATGACCCAACCATTGCAGGCTCGCACCTTGTTGCCCCCTGATAAAAGACTTTTAAGTACTTTTTTCAAGCGGCCAAAAAAGCGTTCCTGCAATGTTTGTTTCATGTTAGATTCTGGTATTCCCAACGACTGTGATATACCCAGATACTTGTAAGTTTCAGTGGCAGACAGAGATCTGAGTTTTGTTGAATCTGAAAGCTCTATTCCTTCAGATTCAACTATCACACCCTTCTTTACATACATGACTGCACACTTGTCTACACCAAATTCCATTTTGATAGAATTACTAAAGTTTTCCGTCACCTTTAGTAACTTTGTCAATTGTAATTTGTTGGAGGCTAACAGTTTCAAATCATCCATATAAAGAAGGTGAGATATAACTTTATCATCTTTCTGCAACCTATAGCCTAACCCTGAACCCTCTAATAAAGTGCTAAGAGGGTTCAAAGCCAGATAAAACCACAAGGGACTCAGACTATCACCTTGAAATATACCCCGCTCGATCTTTATTAGTACATCGTGTATCGCCGTCTGCCGACATCCTGGATAGCGAAGTGCTGTTCTCCATTGCCCCATACATGACTTCAAGAAAGTGCACAGAGTTGTATCAATTTTATACAACTCCAGCACCTTCAAAAGCCATGTGTGTGGAACCGAGTCATAAGCCTTCTTATAATCTATCCAACACGTCGCCAAACTCTTACGATTACGACGTACCTGTTGGCTAATGGTCATGTCTATGATAAGGAGGTCTTTAGTGCCACGGGTCCCACTTCTACATCCATTCTGAGAAACTGACATAATCGAATTATTATTAATATGTAAAGTAATTTTGAGTCTCAGAATAGATGTTAGTTTATACATGGTAGGTAAACATGTAATAGGTCTAAAATTTTTGGGATCCATGACACTACCAGACTTATAGAGTAAGTGGGTTATGCCAGTGGTTAAAAATTGGGGTAATGAACCCGAATCCAAAGCTGCCTGGAATTGAGATGCCAAACGCGCATGTGAGCTTCGGAACCACTTAAGCCAAAAGTTGCGCAGTCCGTCTGGACCAGGTGATTTCCAATTCGGTAATGAACGAACTGCACAACTTACATCATCTTTATCAATTTTAACAGGTTCCATAGGTGTTATTGACTCACATGAGCGTTTGACATCCTGCAACCAATCACCTTCTATATGAGTGACAGGCACCGACCAGATGTTACGCCAAAATGTATTTGTGACATTTTCATCTGGCAAATGCCTATCACCCACACATGGATCCGGTTCCTCCCATTTCCGGTACACCCACTTCTCATTTCTTTGGAACATCCGATTCTGATTATACCGATCTATTCGTTTTTTATACCGTCTTATCCTATTTGCCCATGCATAAATTTTCTGCTTTAGAAAGTCTATGCGCTCTGTGACACATGACATGTACTGCTGAGGACTAATGGTAGTCCCCAAGAATGCTTGTTTCACAAAGCGCATCACTCTCGGCCGCGTATTCCCTGATCGGTAGCTAATAAGCTTCCCGATGAGTGTCCTGGTCTCAGCAATACGACGCTCAATTCTATACTGCCAAGCTGGTACAGTAGATTTAGGTCGAGTAGTAGCGACATTGTTAGCTATTTTAACACCAGCTACTCGACAAACTGCAATAGCCGCACAATATAGAATAGAATGTGTATCACTAAGATCTTCGCTATTATCTAAATATTCAGGCAATAACGAATCCAGGGCACCCACCAGCGCTAAATTTCGTTTATGAATGGGAAAACGGAATAACCGGGGCCTATCATTGCAATTTAAATATCGGTATTCCAGAATCGCATCCTCCAAAGCACTCCTTATCCTATCATTGTATTGGGTACTTACGGATATAACTTCACTTTCCACTAGTTCATCAATATCATCAGTATATGATGCCAACTGAGGTGTGCTGTTGGCTACCGAATCCACAGTGTGTGACGAAGAAGGGATAATTAAGCTATTCCGTATGTCAGAGCGTATCCTCTCAAGTACTGCATCATCCAGCAGATGACAGCGCTGTATAGCTCGTACTTGATCCGACAATCGTTGTGCTGATACGTTGACAGCTGGTTCAAGCTCCTGAAACAAAGAGACTAGTCGAACACGGTACGCAGTAAGGTTCGTTCCCACCTCTGTAGCCCGATAATATGCCCGCATGACATTTTCATTAATAGACTTTATTACCTTCACTCTGACTCATCTTAATTTATTGAACACCTGCATTTTAGCGAATCAGATTCTATAATTTACAAGATAAAAACAATAACACCATATTATACGTTCGTAACGTTGAATCAAACAAAATAAACATACAAATAATTTATTAACCAGAATCAGGTGAAGAATAAGTCAAGCTAAAGGAACCATTACTGATTTATAACGTTTAAGTTATTATTATTATTATTATTATTCTGACTTAAACACGATAACGAATCTGTCAGTACAATAAAGCACATAGGTACAACATTAATGAAATAAAGTTAACTCGTTTTATATAAATTTACTTTATCTAAAGGAATACATGCAAATGCCAGTATTATAATTGTCTGAAAAAATCGTAGCGGACAGTCCAGACCTAGGACACTAACAAAAAAAACTGTGTTGCCAAATCTTTTTTCTAGGTGTTCAATAATGAATGGTTAGAACCTCTGGATCTAGAAATCCGCTGAAATCTGAAGGTTTCAATTTTTAAGCAGACTTCTAGACCCAGGAGAATGGTAAATCATTAATTGATTCGTAGAGAACTCGCAAAGTTCTTAGATATAAGGATTCTCATTTAGTACATGCAGAATCAGAATGCACGGATGGCGTAGTGGTGTAAGCGGTCACCTCGCGTTCAATTTGTGTGATTCACAAATTGTTGTTCATAGTCTGAGTGTTCTTTGTGTCCGTTTAAAGTATGTTTGTAAAGTCCCCCGTGCCACAGAATATATTCCTAGTGCGGGAGTTGAGTTGTCTTTATAAAAAAAAAACCGCAGTTGAAATCACTTTTGGTACAGGAGTCAGTTGGGCTTTAACTGGAATCAAATACCTAATTAAATAATCAAATTCTGTATTCCTACTGATGATTTGTTCTTTGTTACTTTACAGGTTTTCTGGTTTCACGAATAGGTAGCATGATTGTTGAACGAATAATTAATCGAGTGAAGTTTTTTTTGTGATAAAACTTCGATTGGGTATATTAACTAAGACATAACAAATTCCTTCACTCTGACTCATCTTAATTTATTGAACACCTGCATTTTAGCGAATCAGATTCTATAATTACAAGATAAAAACAATAACACCATATTATACGTTCGTAACGTTGAAACAAATAAAATAAACATACAATTAATTTATTGACAAGAATCAGGTGAAGAATAAGTCAAGCCTTTAAGGAACCATTACTGATTTATAACGGTTAAGTGATCTGTTTGTGAAACAAATAAAGCAATGTATGGTAAACAAAGTGGAGTATACGTTGCTTAAGTGAAGGTTATTGACCGGAGCCTTGACTGCTTACAGTGAAAGTTGATCAGATATCGATTCGCAATCAAATCGATTGAAATTAAGTACTTCATGGTTTTATGGGCAATCAATTTGCGAATTTAAGTCGGAAGTCGATTAATCAATAATTTTTTTAAATAAATGTGACGAAGGAGTTACTTCTAGTTTGCATTTTTTTTTCAATTTTACCTACCAATTAAGTTAATTATTTGTCTTGACAGTGGGTTTTACTAGTATTGTACAGACCTGGGTTTTAAACCGGATTTTGAATTCGAACATTGGCTTGCCAATAATTTTATGTGAAGTAGTAGAATTGTCTTTCAATATCATGCTTGTCTTGCTAAAAATGTTTATCAGGAATCTTGGGAGTAACGTTATTAAGTACGTGTATCCGGATGACACTGTACACAGTAAGAATAAATACACATAACATTCGCGTTCGTACTAACCGTGGAACCTTCTAGTTCAAGAAGCGTCTAGGTAGTAATTTTCGAAAAGAAATCTTTCGTATTCATATGAAGCAGTGATATTTAAATAAAATTAAAAAAAAGTTTTTCAATCATTTTTTTAATACTGCAACACTTAATATTAACAAAAAATCAACAACAATTACACAATAGTCAACAACGAAGCTAACAACAGCAAACAAAATCAACATTGTATACACACAATAAATATCACAACAACGTTATATGTATAAGTCAACACTAGTGGAATTACATCTCCACTAGATCTACGGAATTTGTATATTTACAACTGGCAACCCCGCTTATAAGTATAAGCTTTATACACCCTTACCCCTAGGTTAAATTATTTTTAGTGCTTGCCACCCTTGTAGTGGTAGACGTGTTTGTAAACGGGTACGTGGACGGGATAAGGTTTGGGGATGGGGACTTCGACTTTCTTCTCTACTTCGACGGGGTAGGGCTTCTCTACTTCATACGGGACGGGTTTCTCCACAGTGTAGGGTACTGGCTTCTCCACAATTTGTGGTACAACCTGCGGAAGAATCGTGTCTTATTAGTATATGGTAGTGTTTTGTGATCTTCTAAAAGCATATGGGCCTCAAGTCAGGGAAAGCTGTAATTGCGTTTTTATCAAACGTCTGTCATGATTGCACGGGTGGTTATTATTTGAAGTCAAGTAAAAGTTTGTCTTGATTAAATGATTATGAAACAAACCCTTTTTAGGTTCGAATATATTATTAAAATATTACGCCACAACATACGAGTATTGAACCGGAAACTATTTTCCGATGAGTGTATCCGAACACAAGTTACTGTCACAAAGCGCGGGAACATTCTCTTTTCAAGATCGCGCTCGAGTGAGCTTATTCACTTTCTGTCATGGCTGACTGCATTACATAACGAAATTGGTGCAACGGTATTCATGATGGCGTATTATGAGATAATTGCAAAAAAACACATCGACAGTAACTGTGATGTAATGGAGTTTATGTTTTACTATTTTCTTTTCTACGTTGAGAGATTGTGCAGTTTCTTTTAAGTTATTAAGTTTGCGGTTTGATGGAATCTGTGAGTGAAGAGACTGTGTTGAAGATTTATATTACGTTTAATAAGAAAGTTATAAGTGATTGAAAAAATAGCTTAAACTTAGGGCAATCTTAAACTAAGATTCGCTAATAACTGTCCTAGCCGGTTTCTATCGAAAGAAATGGATTTTTAATTTCAAATAAATATCGCTTCTTATGATAGTATATTAATAATTATTTATTGATTACGTTCGCTTTTATTTTCGCCATTTAAAGTCACATATTAGAAACTCTCATGAACATCTTTAAGATTATTATGCTCAGTTCTATCTTAGATCAAGTTAAGATCTGAGTGATTTATGATCGTACTTGTGTGTAATTACCAATTATATGATCAGAAATCTGTCATTGTGATGTCATCGTATTCGAACATGTAGATGAAACGCGAAAGAAGTAATGAAGAAATTAACAATTAACTATCTAATTATTGTATGGTTTATAATATAATTATGGGTGTACTCTGTATTACTAAGATAGATAAAAGATTCTTACAACAAAATTAGATGTGTTTATTGTCCGAAGGTTTTTTGCGAGACTACCAACGTCGAGTCGGTGTAAAACCGTTACACTAACAATAAGTACCAAATAGACACCAAAAAGACTGAGAAAGTGTTTCTTTTTGATAAATGATAAAAACCTTCATTCTCTTACAGGATTTAAAACGAAATTAAAATATTGGCGAAATTACTTATGTTTCCGCCAGTTGTGTAACTGTTTTTAAACAAAATATCTTAGAAAAAGCAAAATTTGGATCTCGATTGGGTCTATCTAAAAGTGTGTTACTATCAGGAGTACAGAAGAACCATACAAAAATGATCATTCTCACCTTGTAGACTGGCACATGGATCGGTTGCTCAACGGTGACGTGAACAGGGTAAGGGTGGGGTATTGGCACCTTCACGTACTGCGGGACAGAGACAGCAACAGGATGGGGCACCGGCACACCGATCTTCTTCACCACAGTGACATGGTAAGGTTTTGTATGCTCCGAGTGGGAGTGACCTTCTGGTTCCCATTCTTCGGAAGGACGACCGCTGGCGAATGCGGCGAGGAGGAGGATGGCTGCTGTTCTCTGGAAAAGAATTAATATAATTATATAATATAAAGCCATTTTTGTTAGGAGACAGATAAAACTGCTTCGGTACTGATTTTCTTTACTATTTCTGTAAGATACGGTTGCTGAAGAAACTTCATATACAGACAAAGCAGTGTCAAAATCTCTTTATGTCAATTGGTTAATTTGAAGCCAATGAAATCCTGAAGAGGCTCAGGTCAGAAGCGGTACACGTTTCAAAGTAAATCTATGTTAATTGACTTATTCAAAGACAAATGGCTCTAAAACCGATTAACATAAAGACGAAAACTGTGTCAAAGCATCTTTTTTTGCTAGTAAATAATTGCGTATTATAAGTTTACAAGCCACACATAGTAAGGAGACCTGCCTTAAATAGATTTGGTTATTACTAATGATTGCTAAATCATTAGTTTATACGAATAATGTATCAAACATATTCTATAAACAGGCAACCCATACTAATATGACTACTACAATCATATATCAGCAACATACTAAGCAGACATACTAATATTAATAACTAGTGACTCGAATTGAAAAAAATCTTTTAGTGTTGAATTATTGCCCATTTATCGAGAAAGATATAGGTTATATAACAGCACGCTACGACCAATAGGAGATTAAAAAACGGGTAATTTATTCCTTTGGAGGGAGGGAAATTGTGCGCGTTAGCTAGCTTCGTATAATCTGCATGTGATTTAAATCTAATGACTAAACCTATCAAAGCGAAAACCGGATCACAGAAACCTAAGAATCTGATTTCTCCTAGTTTGATACATGTTACTGGGTTATTGCGGCTGTTATTAATACGGTACTGGATTATAATATTGAAAGAGAGCATATGTTTTAGTTCTCCATGTATTCGACTGACATCGGGGATTCTCGGGTTGTATTCCAATACAAATATTATTCGTAGTAATGATTTTAATGGATGGCATGGATTTTAAGCTTGTATAATGATTGTTTTACAAAAAAAAGTATGTATACATAATGTGTTCCGTTGTTTTTGGTCCTAGTATTAGCTATATATATTAAACTATTAGATAATCCGAAATAATATATTACGTACTGTCCGGTATATTATTTATATTATATTCGCATATATATGAGTATATATCCATAAAGTCCTTATTACACGTATTTAAGAAGCGAGTGATTTTTGTTTAAGTATAAGTGGGATCATTTAAATCAAAACCTTAGCTAGTCAAGTTTTGTGTGAGCATTATTAAAATCATCACAATATTTAAAATTTATGAAATGACCCTTTGGAAGTAGGTACTCTCACATTACAAGAACTTACGTAAAGTTGTTACGTAAATATATTTTGTACAGATACCGTATTACAGTGGGATATTAAACAATTAAAATCTTTGATATAAAATAAATAAAAGAAAAGATGTAATAGGATTGTTTACAAGGATAAAGTAAAAAAAAAATGTCAACGGATCTGTCGTAACGTCACTATTTAAAAATAAAACATCTTTTAATTTTAATCAAAAAATATTAGTAAAAAACTCACTAACGGCGTGCTTAAATATAGCATTTTTATTGATATTCTGCACTGAGAGTGTTATGAATACAAACGGATTAATCGACTAAAAATTAAATGTAGGTAAAATTTCACCTGTACTTACTCGTTTAAAACTTAAAACAACAAACACTATGTGACGACTTGAAACGATTATGTGTTTCCAAATTAAAAATGTTGTTCTGCAGGTTACAAAAAATATCGACGAACAAATACTTATTTTTAAATATGTATCTTATACACGCATTATTGAATTAATTCTTTTTTTAAAATACTGTCTGCCTTCGAAAGATGTAATCGGAATGTCATATTCGGTCTACCGTGCTATAAATAACATGCGTAGTTGCATACAGTAGTATACCCCAATCATAACTAATTAACATGTGTTTTAAATCGTCAGTGTAGATAATAAATAATATAACGTGTTGTAAAAAATAATTAGGTAGCTCCTAGACAATCATAAAATACAAAGACAATCTTTTTATAATTTTAGAGATCTGTCATAATTAAAAAAAAAATCTATTCTTTTTTCTTCCGGACACTTGCTTTGGTTCTGTGATTTATACATAATTAAAAAAGCACTACACTGTCGGGATTTTCTAAAAGGATATTACAATAAAAATAACATAACTCTACTATTATGTCACTAAACATTACCGATATTATGTTGAATTACACATTCATTACATCCGGAGCGTGTAATATCAATTAACATAATCACATAAAAAATTAAGTATATTTCAAGTCATGACACTTGAAATCCTTGTAATAGACACAATTATTTTTTTTAGGCCATGGAAACACATATCAGCCGGTACTATCAAAAGTTCGATTATATAATATGTCGCCTATTAAATATCACCCTTAAATTATATAATGTTAGTAAAAAACTTACAAAAGCGATCATGTTGAGATGTTTAGATGCTGTTGTCGACTTCTAAGTATTGACTGGTGCAATTCGTGATCCCCACAAGCATTTTATACTTGGTGAAATGTACAACATACCTTTCCATTCAGTGATAGGGTCTTCGCACAACTGGCTTATCTAACAGAAAATCTAGAGTGAGGTTATTGGTAAAGTTGAATTGCATTGCGGCTTCTTGAAGGGGAAATAAGAAACAGTTTTCTGTTAAACGGCAATGCATGTGGTGTTTGTGGAATTAATAGATTAGTTAGAAGTGTGACGGTACAGTTCGATTGTACTATCGGGCGCAGCAAGGAGAGTGAATAACAAATTTTGTTTTATTTTTATCTACATGTGCTCAATTTTTTAAAGTTATTATGGTCACTAGAAAGTATGACAGTATTATTACAAGCCAAAGAAGGTGACGGGAATCGATGGTTATTACATTCCGTGGCTTCCTAGTTTAATTAATTGTAAGTTATGTTCAAAACTTACAATTAATTAAATAGGTCAATTACATTAAATAAAATTCACGGTCTAGTGGTTATTGCCACTGTCTGCTAAGCCGGTGGTCGTGGGTTCAATTCCCACCCAGGAAAAATATTGTGTGATGAACATGATCATTTGTTCTGTGTCTGGGTGTAATTTATCTATGATATGTATGTATTTAAAGATATATAAGTATGGTTATGAGCAGTCTGGTTACCATAGTAGTTTGGGATCAGACGGTCGTGTGTGAGATGTGTGACGTATATAAAAAAAAACATAAAAACAAAGTGACCCTTTTATTTAATTTTTTTCGGATACCACCTATCGGTGGCATGTCGGACTCGAACTGACCAAAACCGCACGCCATCTCGGGTACTAATAGCCGGGGAACCAAGTATACCCTAGAAAGGAAGACCTGCAATAAATTGAAATTGAAATTTAAATTGACCCTGGTGCCCCGACATACCTCGGGCCATCTACAGACGAGTAGAGGCCCCCCCCCCCCCCCCCCCCCCGTATGGGAACCCCATGTTCCCTCTGCTCCCTAGAAGCGAGCGCTCGCCGCCACCCCGGCCTGCTTCTGCTAGGGTGACAGATGGCCTCACCTGTCACCCCCAGGCCTGCGCTTATGGAGGACGGAGGTCGTTCTGCGACCTCCGGCGCCTGAGTCGCCTGCGGTACCTGGCCCGTTCCCGGGCCTGACGGGCCGGGAGAGTTCTAAACCTCTCCCGGTCCCGTTCCGCTGTCTCCATCGCGAGCATAACTTGCTCGCAGAAGGAGACGGCAGAGTTCCACGCACTCTCGCTCCGCACGATAGCTGCAATCAGGCTATCGAGAGAGAGAACTCTCACTCCGATGGCCGCCACGAGGTCTCGCCTCTGCTCAACCCACGCCGGGCACTCTGCCAGCGCGTGGAGAGCCGTGTCCACGGTCTGGCCATCGGACACAGGTGATCCCCGAAACATCCTTTCCCAGTGATCACCTGCGTCAGTCGGTATGAGAGGGTCCCGTGACGCCTCTCGAGCCAATCCTCCATAACGGGTCTTACCGCCGCTGACGGCGTGCCCGGTTGCCCGAGTCGTTCCCTCCACTCCCCTATGATGACCTGGCGGAGTTGGGATTTCCGATCATCGATTTCCCGAATCTCGGGACACCGACCCAACTCCCGCGCCTCCTTGCGCCACTGATACAGGGTCTCTAAAAGTCTCTAAAAGAAGGTCTTAAAATGAACCTGGATAAGACGAAAACTACGTCGAATGCCCATTTCGCACCCACTCCAGTGAGAATTGGAGACCTTAGTCTTGTCAAAGCATTCGTTGTAAATTTACATTTGTAAATTAATAAAAACTCAAAAATAATAGCGCATGATAATTTTCAAAGTAAGACTCTATGCTCTAGAAATGAAAATAAATAATTTTTTTAACACGGGAAGACCAATATCTTCATTGTTAATTCTCATCCCTTGATCTTCAAACCTCAGTTGAACTAGATAAAACGGTGATTATGGTAAATGCTTGTATAGGGATCACTGTGTGACTTTGGATCATGTGCCTACGTTAGATCTTGGACTTCTTTGATGTCATTGCCAGGAAAAAACCAGCGACAACCTTGAACAGCTCCTGGTAACAGGAAAAATACAGGGACAGAAGAAAAGAGGAAGAACCTATGCAGTGGACAGATCAGATTCGCAACACAGTCAACGAAAGGGTTTGCTAAGCCATACGCACTGCTGAGGACCTCAATAGGGGAGACCGATAGGCCGAAGGATTATATGTAGAGGTCAAGATAAGAGGGCCTTCAGGGGTACTGCCTGTGACAACGAAATAAGGAGACAAACGTTAAAAAACACTGTCATCGTGATAGGGTTGTATGTATAACAAACAACTGCCAAAAAACGCAAATCAGATTATAAAGATTCATTTTGACCGAATCCAAATCAATCTTTCAATTACTGCAAATAAAAAACTTAATCGAAGCATTTCTTGCTAGTGAATGTGGTTCACTATAATATTGGCAGAAAAAATATTCTATGTTACATATAACTAATAACAGTCGAAAAGACACTTAATGTAACAAATGTACTTAACAGTGGACAATCTTAGCGCTAAAACGATCTCTATGAAGATCACTTTAATAAAATATCTCCATTAACCAGTAGGCATGACGTTGGATTACACTCCATGCAATGTGTCAATCAAGTTTCCTTTTACTGAGGTGTGACGTCAATCCTTGTTATTTCATACAAAATTGTTAAAATTTCTGTCATATTTTTTAATATAAAATGAAATTTAAGACCTGCTCTGTTTATTAATCATGCGGTAAAATTGCAAAATAAGTTTGAGTTTTTAGGAGCAATATATTATATAATCTATGGTAATAGAAGACATAGAAATACAATTTGTTGGCAACATTGTAAGATAGCGCCTAATTTAGGGCCATTTATACACGATACCTTTTTTAATATCACCTCCCGTACCAGGAAAAGATCTTAAATCGCCGAGGACTTTACATTTATGGAGGACTGCACTGGATGGCGTAGTGGTTTAAGCGATCGCCACGAAGCTTTCTACAACGCCGAGTGTTGTGGGTTCAAACGCCACATGGGACGACACCTTGTGTGATCCACAAATTGTTGTTCTGAGTCTGGGTGTCCTTCGGGTGTCCTGGGTGGGGTGTCCTGTCCTAGGTGTTTCATGTATGTTTGTAAACTCCCCCGAGACACAGGTTATATTTCTAATGCGGGAATTGTCTTAAAAAAAAAAGGACACCAATAACACCCAGACTCAGAACAAAAATTTGTTAATCACACAAAGTGTTGTCCCTTCTGGGGATCAAACCAACTATGCCATCCGTGCAGTCAAATATGTTACAACACTGGATGTTAGCGTAATAAAGAAATCTACAAATTTATCTTTGTAAATAATCTATGTACGATTGTATAGAATGTTGCCACACTTTCTTCATTTAACACAAAATAGTGCTTGTAAATTTGTTTTGTTTTTGTTATGTAGACGCTAGTTATCTAGACCGAAAACCAATTAGACAATTTTGTATCATGATTCCGAAATGTCTGTATCATGTTATATATTTAATATAATATATTTTACTACATACACACAACGCCATCTAGTCCCAAACTAAGCAGAGCTTGTGCTATGGCTACTAGACAACTGATATATAAATACATTTATACTTCTTTTTATAAATACATACATATTGTACATAGAAACACCCAGACCAAATCAAACATTAAATGTCCATGCACACAAATGTTTGACTTGAGCGAATAGCAGTCTGTTACACAAACCACTATGAAATCCGGTCGTCGAATGTTATATTTAAGTAATTGTAATCACTAGTTCTGTTTAAAAAAAAATAGCTTAATAATAAATCCTATTTTATACCTGCTATACTATAATGACGTGTGGTGACGGATTAAGAATACGGAATGTCACCATCCTTTTCCATCCCGTGGGTGGGGTTAGAGCCGACTGAGGGAGCAAACTACGCAATACAACAGCACTATTAAAAGAAGGAAAACTTGACACAAATCCTGTACCAACCCGTCTGGCCAACCCATTGGTCAAAACCTCTTTTCTAAGGAGAGGCCTATGTCCAGCAGTAGGCCATTATAGGCTGTTGATTGACGTATACAATATCTATAATTTGCCGCATTCAGTGCCGGTGCAATTTGTCTTTAATACCCTACTCTACGTACATACACTCAGGCTTTTACCCCGAACGGGTAGACGGAGATGTATTAAAAGTGTACATTTTACAAACTATAATTTTAGTTCCACTTATGTAATATGGCAAACTGGTCGCTATAGAAAGTAGATGGAGAGTTGAGAGTTCAATATCAAAGGAAAAGGACTGCCGAGCTGAGATTCGATTCCCGGGTCGGACCAAATGTTTGTACTATCCGTAAATTTTAGTTTCGGAGTTCGGGTGTTTACTATGTATAATATGTATGTATTTACGAAAAAGAGTATAAAAATACTGTATCAGTCATTATAGCTTTCATAGTCAGCTAGTTGGCGTTATGTGTCAGAAGTCCGAAAATATTATTTTTATTAAACGCAGTTTAGAAAGGAAGATCAGTGATTACTTAATACTAGGTTAATACAATAATTTGCTCAAGACCGTTGTGGTGGACTGGCATCTGTACTAGGGAACCCTGGCACACAGTTAGAGATGAATACAGAGAAGGCAATAGGAAAGGGATATTGGTTATGCGAACGGATTGTGCTTTGAACACATACCTGAAACTTGAACTGGTTCATCATCATCATCATCATCATCAACAGCCTATAACAGTCAACTGCTGGACATAGACCTCTCCTTAGAAAGGAGGTTGAACTGTTTGTAGACGGGAAACCCTCGAACGACTCTACTCTATCATTCGTTATTTCACTGCTTACTCTAGTCGATAACAATCTCTTTTTTCGCCATATATGCATATATATATATACTCGTATTCTACTTTTATATATAATAATAAGCTTACACATCTC